CTTACATTGCAATCAATAGCATTGAATCAAACTCACGTCGAGTCGTTCGTATCTTCTCGAGAGAAGGTGTCCTTGAGAGCGTCAGCGAGCCTGTTGATGGCTTGCTAGGTGCCTTGAGCTGGAGACCTGCCGGGAATCTCTTGGCCGGTATACAGCGTCTCAATGACTGCGTCAGAGTCGTCTTCTTCGAAAGGAACGGTCTACGCCACGGGCAATTCAATTTGCGGCTGAAACAAGAAGAGTTGAGTACTTGGGGCGCTCAGATTTCTCTAAATTGGAATGTTGACTCGTCCGTGCTTGCTGTACGCTTCAACGATAGGATTCAGCTATGGATCATGGGAAACTATCATTATTACTTGAAGCAAGAGGTTTTGCTTTATTCAAAAGAAACGTGCACGCAACCAGTTTCATTGAAATGGCATCCAGAAAAACCGTTGCATTTTACTTTGCACGGCCAAGGTGAGCATCTCGTTGTAACTGGGCCCTTGTGCTGATCGGAATATACTGAAGCAGTATCATTAGAAAGTATTCAAAGAGCCGCCTACGCCTCAATTATCACGACCAGTCCTACGTCACCGCCAAATGATCATGGAATTGTTGCTGTTGCTGACGGAAGTAAGTTGCAGATATCCCGTATGATTACTATGCTTATTGTGTGCAGAATGCCTCAAGTTGACTCCTATGCGAGTGGCCAACGTTCCGCCTCCTATGGCACTGCATGAAATTGAGATCAGCAGTAACATCATCGACGTCGCCGTTACGGTCTGCTCAAATCCTCATCCTAGGGCTATCATTGGGGTTTTACACCACGAGGGATACAGTCAATTCGAGTGGTCGCTGTTATCAATGGTTCAGAACCCACCGGTTTGCAGGTTCACTAATGGCTTCTGGTCGACAGATACAGACACGATCACAATTCGAGATAGATTGCATCTACAAGTTTCTTTCAGCGGCAATGCAAGTCTGTTATTCTCTAAAAGCATGGACAATTCTTCATTTACTGTCATCGGAGAAGACGGCGGACATGTGGGTCACATCTTCCTGCATGAGACAGATGTTGAAGGTATGATCAGAAATTCATGGATTTCGAAGTCGAAGACCTACGTTGTGCTGGACCATAATGGCAAATCAAGTAGCGAGGATTTGAAAGAGAGGGTTCAAAGGTTCAATGATATTGGTGTGGCTGGTATAGAACTGGCCCTCTCGCCTTTCTCAGCGCAGAGGGTTGATACCGTAGTGTGCGGCTTCGAGATCAAGCACGCTGTCAATAGCTTGGTCAATGGAGGCGAAACGCCGGCCACAAAAGACATCATCTTCAGTCTTGCCGACAATGGGTTCCTCTATGCCAATGAGCGCCGCCTCGCAAGGAATTGCACGTCGTTCCTCGTAACCCCCGCGCATCTGATATTTACCACCGGCCAACATCTACTGAAATTTGTCCACCTCACGGAGGAGACTGAAAGTGAGTACCTATAGTCCCAATTTCTCGTCCTTTACTCTAACAATTCTTCGATAGACCTCGAGATACCTCCTGATACACCAGAATCAGATGAGCGATGCCGTAGCATTGAACGAGGTGCCAAACTGGTGACAGTTATGCCCTCGATCTTCGCTTTGATTCTACAGATGCCTAGAGGTAATCTGGAAACCATCTATCCCAGAGCGCTGGTGCTTGCAGGGATTCGAGATAACATCAACAAGAGAAACTACAAAAATGCGTTCCTGGCGTGCAGAAATCAAAGGGTAGATATGAATATATTGCACGACCATGCTACTCAGCAATTCCTTTCGAATGTCGACTTATTCATTGATCAAGTCAAGAAGGTGGAGCATGTTGATCTTTTCCTGTCGCAGCTCAGGGAAGAGGATGTGTCCAAGACCATGTACAAAGAAACTCTTCCGGGAGGCGAACATTCGCAAGTTTTGTCAGTTCTTGAGAGTTCAGAGGCCAGTATCTCCAAGGTCAATCGGATATGTAACGCGTTCCTGGATGCTCTGAAGAATCGCACCTCAACCCACTTTCAAAACGTCGTCACAGCCCACGTTTGTAAGGCACCCCCGGATCTCGAAGCTGGTCTGACTCAGATCGCTGGCTTGAGGAGTAAGAACTCGGACCTAGTAGATGCCGCGATAGAGCACATCTGCTTCCTGGCTGACGTCAATCGGCTTTACGACAACGCACTTGGACTTTACGATCTTGAGCTGGCATTGCTAGTTGCTCAGCAATCTCAGAAAGATCCCAAAGAGTATCTTCCCTTTCTGCGAAATTTGCAAGGGATGTCGGTGCTGCGAAGACAGTACTCCATTGATAATCACCTTGGTCGATTCAAGAAGGCTCTGAGGCATCTGTGTGATCTAAGTGCCTTTGACGAGGTCAAGGATTACACCATAAAGCGTGGCTTGTACCCAGAGGCTCTAGACTTCTACCGCTACCAAGAAGATAAGCTCAAGGAGATGATGCGCCTGTATGCTGATTTCCTTCAGCAAAATGGGAAGTTCAAAGAAGCTGGTGTAGCTTATGAGTATCTCAGCGACTATACTTCTGCGAGCGAGGCTTTCCGTCAAGCCCATCTTTGGAAAGAATCTCTTTCTTGCGCCACCCTCACACCTTTGCCACAACATCAGCTCCGTTCCCTCGCCCAGACACTCGCAGATAGCCTCTTGGAATCCAAGGACTTCTTCTCTGCTGCGACGATCCATCTCGACTACCTCGCCGATAGCGCCACAGCATGCCGTACCTTCTGCAAAGGTTACTTCTTTGCTGATGCCCTCCGCATTGTCGGACTTCATCAGCGACCCGACTTGCTCGAGTCAGTCATCGACACGGGCCTTGTAGAAGGCATGGCATCTGTGACCGAGCTGTTAGCTGACTGCAAAAGCCAGCTCAATGCACAGATACCTCGATTACGCGAACTGCGGACGAAGAAAGCTGAAGACCCCCTAGCATTCTTCGATGGCGACGTCAATGGTGGCGCGGATATTCCGGACAATGTCTCTCTCGCCACAACTGATGCGTCTACCATGGGAGGTACACTACTGACGCAGTATACGAACCGGACCGGAACAGTAGGTACGAATGCTACGAGGCGAACGTCAAAAAATAGGCGAAGGGAAGAGAGGAAGAGAGCTAGAGGTAAGAAGGGGAGTGTGTACGAAGAGGAGTATTTGGTCAGTAGCGTTGGAAGACTGATTGACAGGATCAATACTGTCAATGAAGAAATGGAGAGGTTGGTTGTTGGGTTGATGAGGAGAGGGATGAGGGAGAGGGCTGGAGCTGTGGAGAATGCTATGATTGAGGTTGTGGAGCTGTGTAAGGGATGTCTCGATGAAGTATTTAAGAGCGATGTCAAGAAGATGGTCGAGCAGAAAGAGATCGAGGAAGAGGAGCGTAGGCCAAAAGGAGGAGAAGGGGTGCTGTGGGATACCATGGAAGGGGACAAAGAAAGAGAAGCACCATCCGTGAAAGCCTTCGACAGACTATCACTTCTTGGTCGATAGCCTGCGACATAGCGGGTATATGCAACCAAAATTGTCATCAATCATCAAGTATCCACAGTCTTTCCCTCATCATCAATCAGATGCTCCGGGACACTGATTGGTCCTTCTCCCACGCTCGTCAAAATAACCCTGCTAACGCCCTCTTCCAACACCTCTACAACTTGGGGACTCGCAGGCCCAGGACCATCAATCTTGGTATCCGTTTTCCCCCAGCCTTCTTTTTGCCGGAGAATCGGCAAAAAGGTTTTCAGCACAGCATCTTCATCAGCTTCCAGGTAGTAAATGACCGCGTTCGGTCCTGCATCGAATGTGTACGCCGCTATCGTTCGACCAGCCTTCTCATTCATTTCCTCGACAGCTTTGATAGCAGCTCGGCTAACGTCGTTGAGGTAGAAGATTGGCGGATCGGTGTCTAAGCAAGTAGCGTGAAAGGAGTTACTCTCCCTCATGGTCACCTTCGCAAACGTCGCAAAATCCTTTGATTTAATCGCTTTCTCCATCTCTGCCATCTCTTTCGGCACCACTTCCTTTGTTCTCGTCTGGAAAAGACTCGATGTCTGCACAGTCGTCTGCATGCCCGTTGTACTGCTCACGCCCTTCTTCGCAGCGCTAACTACTAAGATAAGGGCCCTCATGTCTGGCCAGTGGCTTTTTGGCGCGACAAGCCGAGCATGACTGTCCAATCCATCGTCTCGTATGCCGTGATCCCATGCGACATAACCACCCAACAAACTCCTGCACGCCGAACCGCTGCCTTGGCGCGCTATGAGGGAGAGCTCGGTAGGTGACTGCTGGAGTTCGTATAGGTCCGCTATAGCACGCACTAAAGCTGCAAAGCCAGCAGCTGAAGATGCGAGACCGGCGGCGGTAGGGAAGTTGTTCACGCTCACTAGACGGAGGGAATAGGTTGATAATTTTGGTAACGAAGATTCGGCATCTTCAAGCTCTGAGCGGAGAGCGCGCAGAGACTTCAGACAAGCGAGTGAGCGCGCCGTGGAAAGAGATTGTGGGGCATTGTTCAAAAGCAGGGTGTCTGGACCCTCAAAGGTAGAGGAGCAGGAAGCTGTGGTGTGGGTGCGGAGGTCGGATTGGGAGAGGGTGACTGAGAGAGAGGAATTGGTGGGAAGATTGAGGGAGGGGTCGCGTTTGCCCCAGTATCTACAATCATTCTGTCAGAGCTGCTCAAGAATTGTGGAGGCGAAGGGGGGGGGAAGCGGTACTTGATCACTGCGATGTTCACTGGAGCGGTCGTGCTTGCGCGGTAGATCTTCTGGTCGGCCATGTCGTCGGAATCACTATATTTGTACGCTGAAGACCATCAAAGTCCAGGCATTTGATTTGGATCTACTCGTATTCCAATTGACCGAGAATCCTTCGAATCCTCTCGCCGAAGCTCGTGAACTCCATGGGTAAACCTCGGCCTCGGACTTCGATGATTGCTCGATTTGGTCTCCCTCGTGCTCAGCACTTTCTACAGCCGCGCCGTTCCCTACTCCATCGCCATGGGAAACACCTCCTCAAGCAAAGTTCCACCCCCTCCAAACGAACCCCCGCCATCCGCATGCCCAGTCGACCCTTCCGCCCGCGCTGCATGGCTCGAAGCCGCAGCCAAAGAAACCCACCCTCAACCACCCCCCTCGCCCTCCCCCTCAACCTCCAAATCCACGTCCCCGTCCCCCGTCCCTCCACGCAAACTCACCACGCCACGCCCCCTAGCCTCCGACCGCGTCACAAGCTCCATCCCGCGCGCCGAGCTCTCCCCAAACATCACAACCCCGACGCCCACATCGGCCCCATCACCGCATAGTCCGAACGCGGCGGCGGCGGCGTCGTCGTCGAATTGGATCTACCCCTCGGAGAAAATGTTCTTCGAAGCCATGCGGCGCAAGAACCACAGCCCCGACGCCGCGGACATGGCGACGGTCGTGCCGATCCACAACGCCGTCAACGAGCGCGCGTGGGCGGAGATCGAGGACTGGGAACGGCGGTTCGCGGGTGCGCGGGATCGGCGGTGCGGTGGGCCGAAGTTGCGGAGCTTTAGTGGGGATAGTAGGAAGGTTAGTCCGAGGGCGAGATGGCTGGGGTTGTGGGGGTATGAGAGCCCGTTTGATCGGCATGATTGGGTTGTGGAGAGGTGTGAGGGGAGGGGGGTGGAGTATGTGATTGATTTTTATAGGGGCAGGGGTGGGGGTTTGGCTTTTTATTTGGATGTTAGGCCTAAGTTGAATAGTTGGGAGGGGTGGAGGATGAGGTTGGGGAGGCTGGTGGGGATGTAAAAGAGTGAGAAGAGGGAGAAGGAAAGGTGTGGTGTATATATGGCTTTGCGTAATAGAACAGGATGTACAAAGGTGTCAGGCTTCATGCTTGCTTGCAACGCTCCAAAACGCCAGACGTGCTCTGGGAAGACAGGACGACAGGGCAACGAATACCAGCACCCCCCTCTTTATCCTAGTACCACAGCCAGAACTATAATAAGTAGGACCACGGCAAGAATCACCAGCAAACAACAAGCCTTGCCCCTCGCACTCTTCTGATACCGATTCGCGCTCCTCAGTTCTATATCCGCGTGCTGCGTATCCGTAGCCACATTCTGCACGTTGCCACTTATCGTATCAAGCTGCCCTCCCTGCTCATGCACAATGTGCGCCACGTCCCTAAACAGCTCATTCAGCTCCCCAACGCTCTGCTCAATATTCCGTATTTCGGATTCGCGCTCTACGATCAATGAGTCTTGGAAGTCCACTTCATCTTGCGAGGCTAGACGTAGCTGGTCTTGCTCGTGTAATTGCGATTGCTGCTGTGAGGGGCTGTCGGAGTATGGCTGGTTTGAGGCGTCGGTCGAGTCGAGGGCTGTACGAGCGGCGGAGGCGGATGCGCGCTCTTTTTCAAGGGCGAGACGTTGTATGGCTTGGAACTCGGTGCCTGATGCTTGGAATTCGCGGGATAGCTTCTGTTGGGTGTACTTCTGGGATGCCTGTTCGCAATCGCTATTAGCTATGGCCCGAACAGACGGAGATCTAGCATCGTACGCTCAAATCTTCCCACGTCGTCAGTTTCTTGACGCCCTCCCCGACTTCTTTGAATCCGTCTCTCGCCTCATCTAAAAGATCGTGCACTCTTTCTCTGACTCTTTCCGTGTCCCGCTTTGTGCCGAGGAGATTCAGTTGCTGTGACAGACGGCCGATCTTGGAGGTTAGAGAGAAGAGCTGTTCGGACAGACTTTCGCTAAATCGACTGAACTCTGGGTCGTCGCGGTACTCGGGGTCATCGCTGCGGCGGTATGTAGTGGGCTTGTTTGACTGTCAGCGCGAGCCTGTGAGACTCATTTGAGTGTTCGTACCTGGCTCTCCAGAGCTGGCGACCGGTCGAAAGACATGACAAACAAACTTAGACTGCTTCATTCAGATCTGCACGGGTTTTGTGATTTGAGTTGTATAGGTAGAGCGTTGGAGCCTTCGTTGACGTCGCAATGCTAACTATTTTTAGGGTTACCGTTACACTAGCGTGCGATAATGCGGTCTAGTGGGGAAACTGCGGTTGCATACGAGCATGCAATCGAACGACTTCCACCGTCTTTCCTTAGATACATGACTTTCAGCAAAGAACGCTGAAAGCAAAGAGGAACCTGCTATTAAAATAATCTCCACCTAGAGCAACATCGCAAAGCAGTTGACAACAATCGATATGGAGCCAGGAAACATAAACGTGGCCAAATGCTGATCCTTTAAGCCTGGCTTGCTGCATCTGAGTCTTTGCCAACTCAAGGTGAGACCTAAGGCAGTCGTCCATGCGCAATATGATCGGAAAAAATTATACTAGGCCTTCCCAGAAGGCTTTTGTTATAAACATGCATTCCATTGATCAGTGGCTGCACATGCCTGTCCGTGCTGTATTGACAATGGAAATAGATTCCATAGAGAGATATAAATTGCTTCGGTCAATCCATTGCTATCTCAACCAACTTTGGTAGCAACCCCCTGCTCGATTTTTGGGCTGCCGAACAAATGGCAGTTGTAGCAGCGTGAGACTTAAAGAGATCAAGATTTACAACTGAGAGGAGCAGATCTCTTTGCGGGAAGGCTCGGTCTAAGCTCGATTCATGTGATGACAACGGAAGTATCGGGCTTGATACCCATAAGTTCTGTTCAACTTGAAAGACCGCGTGCTTGATACTGCCACTGTTCCTGGCAACTTGCCTGCAGTCCTCACCGTGTTCAGGGCTCTGCATCATCTAGGTACTTGAATTAAGGATACTTCGCCCGAAGAGCTCACTCACCGCCAGATTCAAGCCTACATTCTCACCTCATTCTGTCCTGAAGCCCCAGTCCAAATCCACCACACTTTTGGCTAGGTGTCAGAAAAAGTGGCAGCTGAAACGGCTACAAATCCTCAACATTCCGACAAAATCAATGTCAAGGAGGAATTTTCTTTCGCTGTTCAACACTTTTAATCAAACAGATGATCACGGACGGCGCACTTTTCTGGCTGATACCCGAATCTGACTTGAAATTGAAAAGGTGACAACTGCCACTCTTTCCTACAGCTTGCCTAACTTCTCTCACCTCACTCACAGACATATCGTAGTTAATTTGCGACTCTTTTTGCCACACACTTCATATCACGACCGTCTTGAGTGAGTATCGGGGAGCGTGTTGTCTGCCATACGACGGTAGGAAATGGCGCCGCCGCCAGCGGCGAGAAACAACCCGCAGAGTCAACCACTCACAACTTTGTTGAGGTTGATCTGCGAGTCGTACCCTCCGAACACTTGTCTCCGAGAACTACTTCAAAATGCCGACGATGCGGGAGCTACCGAGATTGAGTATATCCTCGATACGAATACCTACGTTGGGGAACCTTTATTGCATGAAGCGCTAGCAGAATACCAGGGACCGGCTTTACTGGCGAGAAACAACAGCGTCTTTACTGACGAAGATCTCGCAAGTCTAAGTGCAGTTGGCGACTCTAGGAAGCGCCACGATGCGGAGTCTACTGGCAAATTTGGACAGGGGTTCAACTCGGTAGGCCATCCTAACTCTGCTTTCGCGCCTTCCATAAGTCAGGAATTGGGCTGATCGTGTTCTCCGCAGGTTTACCACTTCACGGATGGCCCATGGGTCTACTCACGTAGCTTGCTGCTCATGCTTGACCCCCACAAGACATGGTCAAGGAGCTTCAGTCCTGATGATCCCGGAGGACCCATGTGGGATGTGGTCAAAGGTCGCGATTGCGCCGAGATTCAAAACCATCTCAATACTTTGGGGGCATTTGACCTTGATTACACGCGCTCAAATGACGAGACGATCATCCGGATTCCGTTGCGTACCCAGGAACAGGCGAGAACCAGCAGAATCTTCCAACAGAAGATTGGCATCCAGAACATTGAAGACGCTCTCAGAGATTTTGGCCAAGAGATCCAAGAGGGCGGCTTGTTGTTTCTCAAGCATGTCCGCAAGATCATCATCAGATTGAACCACGATATTGTGCTGTTGGCCCAGATCCTTGATGACGATCCCAACAGCGCAAGCATGAGGATGGCGATACCTACAGACTTCAAAAACCAATACGCGCCAAACACGTCCCAGGCCACCCACGATCTGTCGAAGACTTTTGAGACGAGGATTGAAATATCCACAAAGCAATATCCGAATCCAAGACTCTTTCGATATGTTGTCCAACATACGATGATAACATCTTCGGGCGACAAGAAGTTGGACATCTGGGCTCGTGAGCGCAAGCTGTATCCCTGGGTGGCCATAGCAGCACCGCTGAACGATGGTTCTGCTGGTGACCCTTTCGATGGGCGGCTTTTCTCTACCCTGAGATTACCTGTCAGGACAAATCAGCCTATCCATATACATGGCCTGTTCTCAATTACCCCAGATCGTGGTAGGCTGTCATCTTCTGGACAGTCGCCTGGCTATGAGGATCTGGCAACGAAATGGAACAGTTTCATGTTCGGGAAATGCGTTTCGATCGCTTGGGCAAGCCTTCTTGCTCACCGTAGCCCTCTCTCATGGCGCGAAGAGATGTTTGCTCTATGGCCCAGACCCGAATTCACTCACTCCGAGCTGTGGGACAATCTAGATGACAGCGTCATTGATATAGTAATAAAGTCCAATCTGGTAGTGTGGAACGCCTCGAATGGTTGTTGTGTGGATGTCGACCATGGCTTCTTCGCCCCTAAAGATGCAGAAGCCAGAGAATACGGCCCAGCCCTTGCAGCGGCTCTCCTGCCAGCGGTGTTTCTCGAAGGCTCTTTGCTAAAGAAACTCCAACAGCGAATGAAGCCTCTACAGCGAAATGTCAGGATGTTAACGCCTGTGACAGTCCGCCAATTCTTTCGTCAGCACGGTCTTCCAGCATTATCATCGGAGATACAGACTATTATTCTTGAATTTTGTCTTCTTGATGCCATCAAGAGCCCGCTGGAACATAACGAGAGAGACAACTTGTACAACGATCTCCATGGGATCCAGATCTGGCCGACTGTTAATGGCAGTTTGTCGTGTTCTAACAAGGTTGACCTGATGCTTCCACGGGATGACCCAGAAATGCAACTATTTTCTAAGTCAAGAGCTGCAGCAACGTTGGACATCTCCATGATGAGTCCTTCTGTCAGGAAGTTGCTACTGAATGACATCAACAACCTCACTGTGGTGATGAGATTTCGCGGCCTAGGGGACTTGGCCACAGACTGGCCAGTGATGTACCTCATGATGCCTCGCCCCGAAAACTCCAGAGTCTGGGCAAAACGAGCTTTCGGTATCGACAATGTTCTTCATGACATATGGGCTTGGATTGCCGAACGAGTCCAAGAAGGGCAGCGGATGGTCCTCGAGCTTTCGCGCGACCTGTGGCTTGTTCCAATGAACGACTCCCGAATCCGACAGTTCGCTCCCAAAGCTCTCAAGATTCCGTTGCTTATAATCGAGAAGCAGGACCCCTTGTTCAATTTCCTGGTCGCTATCACGAAACAGGATTCACTAGCAATGCCACCGTTGCTAGATACCGACATCTTGCCAAAGGAAGCAAGAGATCTTCTGCGCAACAAAGAGCCCATGAAGACGGATACCCGGTGTACCCGCGTAGATGACCCAGAAGCCTTCGTCGACTGGCTGGTTGCCTGCAAAGAAATGCTAGCAAAAGCTTCGGACGAGGAGAAGGCAATGCTTCTGAGCCATCTCGAGACCCTCACACGTGATTTGAATTTCCCAGCAGGTCTTTCACCCACACTCATGAGCCAAATGCGGAAGTTACCCCTTTATAGAAAGATCTGTTGCT